GAGACATAGAAGCCGACAAAAGACGCAGGACTCATACAAAGACATTTTCTGTCTTCAGCTTTAGCATCTAATCAATTCTGTCCCCTCTACGTCTCTCCTAAAAAACCAGTCCCCTGACCAAAGCTGGAGCTCAGCACCAGGGGACTGGGCAGGACTGTGCTGGGCACAGGGGTGCCAGCCCTCCGCAGAACTGCAGCCCCCTCCTGGGAAGTGAACCCTCGTCCAGGGGCACCCGCGGGGGACGCGAGCGCGCGGGCCGTGGGGTGCCAGCACCCAGCCTGCCGCCCCGGGTCCCCAGCCCCGAGAGTTGGCCCCGGCCCTTCTATCCCTCAGGGATTTACTCGGTTGCAAGAAAGCTCAGGAGGAATAAAAACCATCCTACCATGTCCAGCAGCTGAGACTGCCAGGGAGGCCAGAGACCGACTCGCTGCAAATGGCTCAGTAATCTTCCGTGGTGAGCTGGGGGCACGTCCCTCCGGAGCGGGGGAGCGGCTCTGCCCCGCAGCGCTCCGGGGCCATCCACGCCGGGGGCTGGGGCAGGGCGCTGGGAAAGCGAGGAGCAGACGGAGTCTGACGGGTGGCTGTACACTTTGGGCGAGCTCTGCAGTACCTGTATGTTTTACATTTACATAAGAGCACTGTGACATTGGAAATATTTTCCTTTTATTACAATATATCAAAAATATGCAGCTTTAGTAAACAAGGTCATATTACACTTTCTAATGCACTGTACAATGCTACATTACACTTATATTCGGTATGGAGAGGGAGCCCAGGCTCCCACTGGCAGGTCTGTGAGGTGAAACGACGTCCACCAGCAACCCGGAGCTTGCCCAGGTCCGTGCCGGGGCAGGCTGTCGCCCTCCGCCCTGGGCTCGCCCGGCGCCCGTGGCAGCAGCACCACCAGCAGCCGCCCCAGGCCCTCTCCTCCGGTCCCAGAGCCTTTCACAGTCCTGTCCTCATGCCTCGGCAGCCCTGGAGCTTAGTCGATCTTTTCCACCTTCCCGACGATCTTCTCTTCGAAGATGGGCAGGATGGTGTCATCCTCCCGCACCTCCTCGAAGACCACACCACAGTCAAACTCATCACTCACTTTCTTAAAGTAATACCTGAAAAAACAGAAACATGGGGGCAGAGAGGGGGAAAAAAAAAAAAAGAGCAGGTGAATCGTCATAGGGGCACCACAGTCCCCAACCTGGGTACAGTCCTTCCAAGCCCCTGAGCTCATGGTGCATGGGGAGGAGCTCCCCCAGACATGGAAGCAACTGGGGCTACACTTTTTCCCCTGCCCTCACCCAGTGAGCAAAAAAGAGTGGTCAGGATCCCTGCTGGCATGTTCAGGAGCTCCAGCCCTGAAGCCAAGCCCGTTCAGAGCTTGCCCAAAAGGATGGAGGCACCCAAGTTGGCGGAGCACTTCTAGGCAGGCTTTCCCATGGCAGCTCCTACTTGGAATGGGGAACTTGGAGAGCCCCACATCTGATACTCTGGGACTCCAGCAGGACCCAACCTCCCTGTCCTCACCGGAGGCAAGTTTGGGAAGAGCTGAAACAGCTCTGGAAATTGGAGGCTTCCTCACAGCATCACTGAGCACTGGCTGATGCTGCTCCTCACCAGCCCAGGACCTCGCAGCGTAGCTCAGAAGTTTTGCTGAAGGTGTGACCTGTGATGCAGGCCGTTTCTGGTACAAAACACAATCTGCCCTGTCCCTGTAACCTGCCTCTTCAATAGCCTTGGCTCTACTGCCATGTGCCCATGGCAGCACGCCCTCCTGGAAGGCTGTCGGGACCTCCAGGAATCCCCAGCCTACCTCCACCACCCTCCTTCTCCTTGGTGGGAGCAACACTGCTGCGTCCTGGCAGCGGCGCGTGCCAGGGATCGCTGCCAGGCTGCTGGTACCGTGCCACAGGCGGGGAGCAGCCCTTACCTGTAATTCCCTTTCTTGGTCAGCAGCTCCTTGAACTGTCCCAGCGTCACCACGCGCCCTTTGACGAGGGTGCGGTAAGGGATCGGCTCTCCGCAGAAGTAGTAAGCGACCACGATGTTCTCACACAGCTGGGGTGCGCTGCTGCCTGGTCTCTTCTGGGGCTTCAACCTGCTGTGCAAAAATACAAGCGACCTGCTGAGACTCAGCCTAGCTGCCAGCGTGGGCACAGCTGGATGGAGGTGCGGAGTTAACGCCCAGAGCCCTCAGGAGCATCCTCTGCTCTGACCTCCAGGTGAAGGAGCAAACGGCGCTTGGAAGGGCTGGATGGGGCCAGGCTGCAGCTACAAGGAGGGCGCAGGCTCTAGCTCAGCCCCTTCGTCTGAGGAAACCTCTCCCTGGGCTCTGAGAGGGGATGGCCCTTCCCACGGCACCGCCGGCCTGGGGAGTCACCCCTGAGCTCCGGGCGAGGCAGAGCACGCTCCTGGTGCGCACCCAGCACGCGGGGGGGTGGCAAGGCAAACAATGCTCAGGCTACTCAGGATTACTGCTGCTGTGGCCAAAAGAGCTCAGCACGGCTTTCTGCTGGCCTGCATCTGCAGGGCTGTGCAGACAGGAGCTCTCCCACTCCCCACAGCTCCCCTGGGCACCTCTCCCAGTGTAGATGGAGGCCGGAGGGGATGGAGCTCCCAGCGGGACGTGCCCTGGAGGCTTTGCTGCCCATCCCATCCATGCAGAGTGGCAAGGCAGCCACCAACCCCAAAACTTCAGTGACTTTAAATCTTGTGTGTTTTCCTGACTCTCAGGATGTTGGTCTGCTCTCTGCTTCCAGCCCACACAACTGGGGTTCTGCTACGTGGTGCCATCACTAGACTGAAAGCGTCAGCCCTGCCTTAACCCCATTTTCAGAGGTAGACAAAAGCAGCAATAATAAAAATCAGGGTACTTTGCCCTTCTGTAGAGCCTTTCATCTGGGGCGCTGTAAATGCTACACAAACACTGGAGCAGCCTACACAAATTGGTAACTTGGCATGTGTGGTCTAAGCCAGAGGCAGCCTTCTCTTTCAAAGTCACATAAACCAAATTTGTCAGCTTAAAAAAAATTATTTAAAAGCATGCCGGATAAAAAAGATGATTTTGTATTTACATGACTGGAAAGTTGCTATAAAAAACACAATTTGCCAAGCACATGAGGTAATCAGAGTTTTGGAAATGACTCTGACCCTAACCTTTAAACATTGGCTCGCGGGCAGAGCACCTTTTTAATGGCATGCCCACGTAAACACCGGCGCTGCAAACCAAGGCCAGACACGATCTTTTCACCTCTTTCTAAAGAGGTCTGAAGTTCAACTGAACAACCTTCCTGGTGCCTGCTCTGCCTGGGAGACCTTTGGAGAAGATGCAGCATCCGGAGAGGCAAGGGTCTGCTCCTGGTGCCAGCAGAGCTCTCGGAGCCTCTCCCATCCCCATATCAAAGCACAGGATGCCCTTTAGCTAGAAAAACATTAAGGAATTGAGTCATCCTTGGGGGGAAAAAAAAACTCAAACAAACAAAAAACCCCAAGGCATTTAAAGGAAAAATGGGTCATAAATTCAGGCAAATTCTGTGAACCCTGTGAGCCAGAAGTTAATTGAAGGGGTTTGGAAAACCTCAAAGTCCCTAAATTTCTCTTAATCCTGCTAGAAACAAGTCATGACTAAGAGAGAGCTGCAGTGTGCCTGGGGACACAGCTACGTGCCCTGCGCAGGCGGCAAATCCGGTCCCCGCTGGGCTGCCATTCTTTGCCTGGGGAGACGGAGGGGACACCCCTGAGCTCTGCCAAGGTAGAAGCAAGAGGGGGATCGTGCTGGTGGCTGGGAGCCTCCTTCCTCCTCCTCCTCCTCCTCCTCCTGCCACATAATTCACCCCTGGAAGGCCATTTCTGAATGTGCTCAGCCTGGCTCCACTGCTCACCTCCTTCTAGAGCAGAGATGTGCCTGAAATGATGCCCGAAATGATGCCCAAAAGCAGAAACTCCGCACTGCTTCACAGAGCTAGAGTGAAAAACAACCCCCGTGGCTTTGGATTACTCTTGCCATAAATCAAAGCAAGGGCAGATGGCTGCGGTGCCGCTGAGCTCCTGGGGCCGAACAAGGCCGTGCAGCAGGATGAGCTGGCCAGGAGCAGAAAACAGACACGTACACCAAACCACAGCCACCGATCTCGAGCAGGCTGAAGCAGAGCTGATGAATACGAAATCACTGAAAATGTAATTTTGGATGAGCTGCTCTCAGGAGGATGAGACAACACAACTGTCTCTGCTTTCATCATCGCCAAGAGATCTCCTGAGACCACAGCTTACCCAGACAGGCCACCAGACCATCTCCGAGCCCTGCCTCATTAAAGCTTCCACCTGCACCCGTCTCCAGGGTGGCAGCATGACCCAGAAACACAGCCAAGAACCCCCACCCTGCCCCTTCTGGGATCACCAACCTTTGCTGCATTTGTCATCAAATCCAGTAAGGAAACAGCAGCACTCACCTGACTGAGGGCGTCTGCATTTCAATCCTGATTCCTTACCCCTATAACCCAGTGGTGCCGTGACAGGGAAACTAAGTCTGCGTTACAGCACGAATCCAACCTCACTGCAAGGCAGAGGTGAGGGGCTCAGCTCGCTCCAACTCAGCCCCGGGGCTGGAGAGCTTTGGAAAGCCTGAAATGCACCCAGCAGACGCTACCTTGAGAGGGGTCCCAGCCACCACCTCTGCTCCTCTTCCAGGCTTGGCCCAAGCCAGTTCATTTCGTGCTAATGTTCTCACTGCTTGCAAAAATCTCTCCTCTGCAGAGCTGGTACCAATTACTTCATCCAGCTGCAACTGTAAGTGAACTGTGACACCGAGCTACAGAAAATGGCTCAAAACCTGGCTGTGCGTGGAGAAACCCGATGGTCACTGCGACGCCAACGCTGCGCACGCGGGAGCTGCAGGTCACTCAGCACCAGACACTCAGTCCTGCGTTGCTGGCTAGCAGCAGCCAGGTAGCTATCTCAGAGATCACTGCTCCTCCAGGAACAGGCAGAAAAAGGCTTTTTCTGCAACAGAAGTCTGATTTTTGGATGAATATTTATGATTCCCAGTAGAGGCACTGCAGGAGCCTCCTTTATTTCTAGCAGGGCAGTGCTGGGGTGGGAGGGGGGCTGGTGGCACCCCCAGGGCTGCAGGCAGGGGCTGGGGGAGGCCAGTGCTGGTGAGGGCTGTGCGGGAGGGCAGCGGCCGAGGAGCGGGTGACCGTGCTGGCCAGGTCAGCCTGGCTGTGCCAAGATGGCACAGGGCACTCTCCCCCCGGGGCCGCCCAAGCCGGGGCCCCAGGGACGCCTCCGGGCTCACCTCCACCTCTCCTGCCCCTGGCACTGAGCTTCCCCAGGGCTGCTGACAAACCTGGGACGCTGCCTCCAATTTCCCAGAGCCCTTCAAAGCTCCCGACTGATACAAATGGTGTTTTCACATAAGGTCCCTTCTCTGTTTCTCCTTTGATCTCAAACCAGCCGCGGGGTCTATTTTCAGGCAGGCTCTGTGCTGACCATAGCAGGTGCTCTCTAAAAGGCTGCTAGCTCAGGTGTTCAGCTGGAGCGCCCAATCCTGCCGAAACCCAGCACAGAGAATTCAGCACCCAGAGATCCTGGGCTCCCCGGGGACCATGGCATCCATTCCTGCCTGCTACAGGACACGGGCACATTTGCTTTTCATGAGCAGTTCCCCAGCCGGGGCAGGTCAGGGGGATCCCTGCACCACCGGGACAAGAGCCAGACCTCACAGAGAGGCACCAGGAGCAAAGCAGCGCAGCCCTGGGACTGCTCAGCCTGTCCCGCTGGTCTGTACAGCACTTACCACAATGCCATGGGGTTCCTACAAAAGCTACGCTTACAATACATGCCAAATTATTATTAGAATATTAATTGCATATGCATATAGCCCAGGCTTGTGTTTCCAAAGTGTGTATTTGCATCTGAACATTTCTGGGGAAGGTGTGTGAATTTAGTACGACTATAAACGGTTCTACTAATAAACCCTATATCCAATCACACCAACAGATCAAATAAACTTGGCTTAACCTGACTTGGGAGAGCCCTCTAATTACCTGGCCTTCAATCAATGCTCTAACATAAATACACAGAAGTCTGCTACATGGTCACTGCAAGCAAAATTAATTGGAACTTGGCAATTAAAAGAGCTTTTTAGAATCACATTCACGTTTCTAAGACTCAGACTGCAAAGTTTCAAGTTCTCAGAAGGCAGCTCTAAAGCTGTGAAAGGTTTTCAACGGACAAAGCGCTTTTAGCTGTTAACAGTAATTATCTAGCACTTCCAAAACGCTTTTCATCTGAGAGCTCCCTATGCCTTGCAAACAGTGTTCCCTGAAAGATAGCACAGGAGCAGGAGGAGCTCTGGAACAGGCATTAAGCTGAGTCACAGAAAGATGCAGTGCCTTGGATCCGGCCATGCAGCGCGGCAGTGCTGCTGCAGCAGGAATACAGGGCAGTGCTCTCGCTCAGGTGCCACCAGCAGCCTTTGCCAGAAGCCTGCGGGCGATGTAAAGAGCAAATACCTATTCTTCTACGCTTAATTCTGCTGCATCCTGCTGAATTCTGCTCCTCCACCAACCTTTGAAATCACTGTGTGTGACTGAGCGGAAGGTCAGCAGGTACCGGGGCAGAGCTCTGCCATACCATGTCCCTTCTAGACACGCTCCCCTGGCCCAGCTCCTCCTCAAGCTCTCAGCAGCCCCTTCCCCACCCTGCCAGGGGTGTTTCCAGCCTCTCCACCCACAAACCGTACGTCCGTGGGCATTCACAGCACCACGTCAGAGGGACCGAGGCAGATTTCTCAGACCTCTCTGCACGTGCCTCCACCCAGTTGGTGCTGGGAGCTGGAGAGCAGAGCAGAGGACCCGGACATCTCCCCCAGCTGGCCCCCTTCAGAGCAGTCTCCCCCTTCCCTCCCAAGCAGTCAGCCCCTATTGCCATACCTTTGTTTAAGGGGGAGTTTTCCAGCCCTTTTTTCCTCCTCCTCCAACCTCCTGCGAGCTTCTTCCAGCTGGGTGAGAGGGTTGGGGGCTGGATTCGGTGGCATGGTAGGATCTTGGATAAAGGGGTGAGAAGGCTGGACAACGTTCCGGAGCTGGGCACTGACCCACGGATGCACTGCCACAGGTCGCTCGATGGACAGGGGTCGGACCATATCATGGGACAGCTGCTTCTTAGCACCTGAAGAGCTACACACAAACACAAAGGTTTTCCACAGGCCACCGAGCCGCTCTGCACAGCACACACAGTCACTCCTAGATGGACCTACTGCTTCTGCAGCCGGACACGGGCACCACCGGGAAGCTCCTTACAGCCTGGCTTCCAAGGGAGAAGGGAGCACCATCCACCTCTAGAGGAGATTTCAGGGCAGCAAGCCCCGGGATATCAGGGTAAGCAACCCAACCCTGACACGAAGCCCACAGATCTGTTTAAGGGCTCTCATCAATACATTAACACAAGCAAAAGGCAGCTCTACTGTTTGTGACCTTCCCCCAGCAGATGCCCTCCCATGTGCTGCCGATGTTCCCAGGCTGGGAGCCTCTCCATGAGCCGCTGTCGGCATCTCCAGGGAAAGGGCTGTTGCAGGGATGCGCTCGTCCTTCCCCAGCTCCAGCAGCAGAACCTGCTGCCTGATTTCACGGTGGCCTGGTGCTGCCCGTGGCTCTGGCACTCGGTCCCAGCTGCCTGCAGTGCAACCTGCCCCAGCCTCCACCATCCCACAAGAGAAGAAATCACCAGCAGTTTCACCACTCAGCCACCAGCACAACTGTGTCGGTGGGGATGAGACCCCAGATCCCTCTTGATGACACCTGGCAAGCACTGGTTTTGCCAGACTGACCAGACTGCAATTAAGGATCCGTGCTTGGAGATCTGCTTGACTCCAGAGAGATTCCTGACACAGCCATGTCCTTGGCTTCATTCTAGGCAGGTGAGACCATCCCAGAGGATGCTCCCAGCAAGCCGAAACACTGGGCAACCCTGAGCTGTGCTAAACCACCTACTGAGGACTAAATGGCTCCAGTGCAGCAGGTCCTGCATTTCTATCAGCACCTTGCAGGGACTACCAGGCATTTACATACAGCAAACGCTTAAAGGAAAAATACTGCTGCTTTACCCACCTCGGAACCACAGCAGCAATTTGTGACTCTTCTGGGGCTGCAACCTCCCCCCCACGGCCACAAGTCATCCTTCCGAAAAAAACAGCCCTACAGCTCCCAAGCAATCCTCAGTCTCCAAAGGGTCTAAACGCTTGTGCCTGGTGAATTTTTGTCTTCCCAAGGTCTCCAGGAACAAGGCAGACTGCTGGACCGCATTGTGGGGGATGCACTACAACAGTGTGAAGACCCCTTGCTCTGCCAGCCCTTACCCGTGGTTTGTTTTCTTATGCCTGCTGATCTCCTTCTCTCCTTCTATGATCCACTGAAGGATCTTCTGATTTCTCTCCACGTCTTCAGGAGATCCTGGCATCTCATAGTTGGCACCATCACTTTTCCCTGAATCGGTCTTCTTAACATTTCTTTTTGAGAGCAGACTTGCTTTCCCACTGCAAGAACAAAGCTTGAGACATTAGTGCTTTGCCTAAGCCCAACCACCGCAGACCGTGGCAGGGGATGGCCATCCCTATCTCCACACACACCCAGCCCTGACGTGGCCCCCGCTGCCCTCCACAGCCCCCTGGCTCTGCCACAGCTCAAACCAACCAGGCCGCTGTTGAGGCTAAGAGCAAGACTGGCCAGCCCTAGGCACAGCAGGCTCCTCCGTCCAGCCACCCGCGGGGAAAGGGAGCTTCTCCTCCGGCCAAACGAGCCACGGCAATGTGACAAAATGACAGATCTTCTGCCACATGAAGGGCTGTGTTAAACCCCCGTCTCTTTGCTCAGAGCGGGAGGTTCATCCTGGTGCTGCAATCCATTGGCTGTCTCTCCATGTCCGACCGAGATCTGAGCCCTTCCCCTCACCCCGAGATTCACTGATACCCCAACTGATGCTGCACAACATTCGCTTCTCACCCCGAATTGAACCGAGACTTCAGGCCACGGTGGAAGTTCACATCCTGGCGGGGGGGCTGCCTTCTCCAGGTTCTCGTGCGCTGGGAAGCACAGCCATCCCAAACGCCGGAGCCAGACGGGCACCGGGCAGTAGCCGATGCTCTGGCTATGCGTATGGCTGCAGCAGAAGCTCCTACAGAAGCCCCACTGGCCTGTCCGTGTGCCCCATGCTCATGAGGCCACGCAGAATTCACCTGTGCTGGCCTGTCATTGCCACAACCTGTAATTTCATGGGACCCCCAGCGTCCTAATCACCCCCCTGCTTTACTCCATAGGACCTCCCTACCTCTGCTTCTGCATGCTCACTAACACACACAGGAAAAATAACCTTAACATCTCAGAGGAGTAACAGGTCCTCAGACAGCTTTGCTGATTTTCTGGGGAAAAACACTTGAGAGGGGTTGCTGAAGATCTATAAAGGCAGGGCAAACTGACAACTTCTCTGTTTCTCCCCACACAAGGACTAGCAGGTCTCAAATAAAATTCTCCAGCAGCAGGTTCGGTGCAAACAACAAAAAATAAGCCTTTTTCTGCAGGTTGTAATCATCCCGCAGACGCACGGCCGGGTTCAACAAGGAGCCAGACAAACCACTGCAAGAGACTGCTGGCGGCCAGACAAGACCATTCGGATGCAAACTCTTGTCTTGCAAGCTCCTAACCTGGGGACTGTCAGGACCTGTGATTTTGTGCCAGAGGAAGAGCAGCTCTGAGCGTGCCCTCAAATCTGTGCTGTAGTTGGTGCTGGAGAGAAGTCCTGTGCCTAGATGGGGCTTTGCACCGACCCAGCATGGCCGTGTTCATGCTCTGTTGAAGCAACAGCCTTGGAAACAGGGCAGAGTTAACTGCTTCTCCCTCCCTGGAGACCAGCTACCTTCAGCTGCCTCTGCCGCCCTCCTGCCACTCCAGAAAGCCGGTCCTGCCCGCTGCAGACCCAGCCACCTGCCTTCACTAAATATCTCAGCCCTGGTACGCTGCAAAGCATCACCCCAAAGCCAGAGCCTGGGGGAGCCAGCCGAGCTCGGGGGAGCACAGCTCTGCCCTGTGGCTGCTCCATCACCGGTCCCTTATCCCAGGCAGCCCCAAGCTCCTCTCTCACCTTTGCAGTCATCCCGTAACAGGACTAGCAAAACCCACAGTGGAGAAGGAACTTCACGGAGGGGACAGAGGAATTCAAACAGCCAAGATGGACAAAAGCCCGTAAGGCAGCAGTATGTCTTTCCTGGGCAGAGGGTCCCCTGCCCCAGAGAATGTCCCCTTGGCACAAGATGCCCCAGCAGCACTGCAACGTCCATGACTTTGTTAGGAAAAGAGCCCTTCTGGTGAATGGGTTACGCCTTGCAATATGAGGGCTTTTTTATTCTCTCATAAACACTTCAGGAGACTGGTTTCTGCTACCCAGACCCTGAGACACAGCCCTGTACTTAGCAGCTCCTGATGCATGGGGAAGTAGACCAGCATTTGCAATTTCTAAGCACCTCTGCTGCTTTAAGGAGCAGAAAAACTAGTTTATAACCCAGGCCACTAAAAATCCTGGTTAGAAGGTGTCTTTCAGCACCATGTCTCAGAGGTGAAAAGGGGTCTGTAAGGGTTATCAGGAGACATACACATTTCTGAAGAGGAAGAGCAGTGGGAGGCCCTCAAACCATGTCCCAGCACAGGCTTTCAGGAGAAAACATTGTTCAACCACCCTGTTTCACCAGCACACCACGGCCCACTTATGAAAGAGCTTCCTAGGGAACCCATGGCTCTGGGACCCGCGTTGGGTGTTGCCTTGACTCACCTGTAGCCTAAAGAGTCCATGGGGACAGGGGCCATGCCCAAGTTTTCAGTGTAGTTTCGTGACTTTGTTGCATAGTTATGTGAATCTACATTCCAAGCAAAGCTGTTCTGCACTCGCTGCGTGGCCTCGGCCTCGATCTGCTCTTTTGGTTTCATTACGCTGTGGTGATGGATGTGGTGGTAGATGTGTTTATGGTGGTATAAGTTAGCTGCATCCAGTTTCATTCCTGATTTTGTTGCGTGCTTGCCATGCCCTGGAGGAATTGTTCCTAGTGTCCCTGACAGCTTTCCTAAGTGGCCGCTTTCTGGGGACCGTGGCTTAGGAGAGTGACGGCCAGGTCCTGGAGACTGGCAGCCTGGTGTCTTCATCACGCGCTGTACATGTTCATCAAGGATGCTTTCTGGGTTTTCTTCATGGGCATCTCTCATCTGCATCCCAGCGCAGCCCATCTCAGAGTAACGAGGAGCAAAGTGATGAAAGGCTTGGGCGGAAGGCATCTTGTGGCTAAGGACTGAGGGACCAGAAGAGATATCTGCATCCTCACCTTCTTCTTCCTGCAAGAAACAAGAAGACAATCAGTGAATGACAGTGGGGTGGTGGAAGGGGTTAGGCGTGGCTTTGTCCAGCCAGATCTTGAAAACCTTCAAGAGGGAGATCCACCGCCCCTCTGGGGACCTGTCCCAGACTGTGCCACGCTCCTGTGGAGAATTTCCTAACACACAACCTGATCACCTCGCTGCCACCAAGCCAAGCTGCTCAGGTCTCTGTACCTGCCTTTTGAGCCACCATTAGCAAGGGTCTCCCAAAGAGACTGAGGCAACCTCTGACACACAGCCCACACATCATAATCGGGATTTACAGATGCAGCTTTTTCTGGTAAGTCTTAACAACTCAATCAGATGTACAAGTGGGCAGAACCTTACTAAAAAGCTTCCTAAGTCCCTTGAAGGTGGTTCTCTAACAACCAGCAGCAGAAACACAACTTACTGCACTGTATCTGTGACTTTCTATGAGCCTTGGGTGAGAGACTGCTTCAAAGCTCATCAGATAAAGCCCAAAGCTACAGGATATGTGGCAGAACAGTTCTCAAGTCAGGCAAGACCAGGGAGGTTTCACACCCAAATGACTAATTCACACAGCAAAGCAAACACCGGGCTTGCAACAGGAGGGATCAGCTGAAGGTTTGAGGAACCTGAAGGAGCACAAGTCCAAGGGACCTGACGAGATGCAGCCGCAGGTCCTGAGGGAACTGCTGTATGAAGTGGCTAAGCCACTACCCATCGTATTTGTGAAGTTGTGGCAGTCTGGTGAAGCTCCTGCTGACTGGAAAAGGGCAAACATAACCCACATTTTTAAAAAGGGAAAAAAAAGAAGATCCAGGGAACTACAAGACAGTCAGTCTTACCTCTGTGCTCAGCAAGATCACAGAAACTATGCTAGGACACATGGAAATTAAGGAGGTGACTGGTGACAGCCAGCATGGCTTCACTAACGGCAAATCACTCCTGACAAATCTGGTGGCCTTATACGATGGGGTTATGGCACTGGTGCATAAGGGAAGAGCAACCGGCATCATCTGCCTGGACTTGTGCAAAGCATTTGACACAACATCCTTGTCTCTAAATTGGAGAGACGTGGGGTTTGACGGATGGAACACTCAGTGGGTGAAGAACTGGCTGGGTGGTCACCCTCAAGAGTTGTGGCCAGCAGCTCAAGGTCCAAGTGGAGAGCAGTGACAAGTGGCGTTCCTCAGAGGCTGGTGTTGGGACTGGTGCTGTTTAACATCTTTCTCGGTGCCATGGACAGTGGGATCGAGGCACCCTCAGCAAGCTCACTGACAACACCGAGCTGCGTGGTGCAGCCGACAAGCTGGAGGGAAGGGATGTGCCATCCTGAGGGACCTGGACAGCCTGGAGAGGTGGGACCATGCGACAAGTTCAACAGGGCCAAGGGCAAGGTCCTGCCCATGGGTCGGGGCAATCCCAAGCACAAATCCAGGCTGGGCCAGGAGTGGATTGAGAGCAGCCCCAAGGAGAAGGACTTGGGCTGTTAGCGGATGGAAAACTGACTGTGAGCCAGCAATGTGTGCTCACAGCCCGGAAAGCCAACGGTGTGCTGGGCTGCACCCAGAGCAGGGTGGGCACAGGGCCAGGGGGGGATTCTCCCCCTCTGCTCCGCTCTGGGAGACCCCCCTGCAGGGCTGGGTCCAGCTCTGGGGCACCAACAGCAGAGGGACACGGACCTGCTCGAGCGGGGCCAGAGGAGCCACGGAGATGCTGGGGGGGCTGGAGCCCCCCTGTGAGGACAGGCTGGGAGAGTTGGGGGGTTCAGCTGGAGGAGAGAAGGCTCCGGGGAGACCTTAGAG